GTATTAGAAGTTAGGAAGTATTTTAGAAGTAAAACCAAATTGGAGTGAAATTGGGTAAAAAGGGGTGATGGACACTGCTTAGTATTTTGGTCATAACTTTATATTTGATGTCCAATTGATCTGAAATTTGACAGACAATAGTAGACATCTAGGGGTACAAAAGTGTATTTCATGAAAAATTTCAAATTCGACTTCTAAATGGGTCAAAACTGACCTGGAAGTCGCACCAAAATCTGTGAACAGTACGAAGGAAACCCGATTTTTTCTGAACAGAAAATATCGGGTTTTGCTCGATTTTCTTGCCCTATAAAAACCTAATGTCGTCCCTTTAGCATTCATTTCACCCCTCCAAACCCTAGGAACCATTTTAGAGGAAGAGAGGAAGATAGAAATACCAATCAAGAGGGATTTATACCTTGTAGAAATCAAAACTTCAAATTCTTCAAGAATACATTCTCCTCCCATTTTCTTCCATTCTTGCTACCCTCTCACCCAAATCTTTTGAAACCCTAGGAGGAGAAGATTAAGAGGAAAAGAAAGGAGAGCAAGAAGGTCTTGAAGCTTGGGTCTTAGCTTGGAATCTTGATTTAAGGTAGGGGATTTTCTCTCAATCTCTCACATTGAGGCTAGATATATATATATAGATATATATATGTATATAGATATATGTTTCTTCACTCTCCTTCTCATATATATAATATGAAATACATGATTCTTGTTCTATTTGTAATAAATGTCATGTTTTGAACAATATGAAGGGTGGGTAACCACCAAAGCTCTATTGATTTTTTTTTTATCTTCAAAGCCCTAGTTTTCAAGAAAAGGGGATTTTCTCCTAATTTCTTCTTTGTCTTTGATTTTAAAACTTTAGTGTTGAATATTGTATAACACAATAATATAGATTACGATCTCTTGTATATTTTCTTGGATTATTCGATTATATGACAAATGTGAAAACAAAATTGGAGATTTTACTATATTTGGGAAATTGTTGTGAATTGTGAATATTCTTGATTTCCTCATTGTATGGTTGTTGTGATGGACTTGGATTACCTTCGAGAGATGCCGTAGAGTGTTAGAGGTTAGTCTATCCCAATGGGGGGTGAGATGGTTGCCTAATGCTCGTAGTGGATCGTTGTTGTGCTCGCGATCACTATTGTTCACATATACACCGAGGAAAAGGGTTAGTATACTAGACACCTTGGGAGGATTTCGTTAATGCCGTAGGAGATGGTACACGCCCTTCCTAAAGAGATTTGTGATTGTTGGTTGGAATTGGTGGACTAGGCATGATCGTTAGGTAGATTCAAGAGAAGCAATCAACATACATGGTACGGGGATGAACAAAAAATACATGGAATCGGGAGTTGGGTCGTTCTTGCCGATGCATTGGTATGAGACAATGCTTAGGGAGAAGCCCTTCTTGAATAGCTTAAATTAGAATTTTGTTTATCGATGCTAAACTCACTTTATTCTTTTAACTGATTATTGCTATTGTTTAAACTTGAGATCTCTTTTAAAATGTCACTGTTTTCATTCCAAACCTATATATATGTTAGTTGTGAAATGAGACCGACCGTTTGCTATGTTTTTCAAACCTTGTTTGAGTTGAGAGTATTTTGCTACAGAGCTTCGTGCTCACCCCCTACAAATAAAAATTTTCAGATTTCACACTTGAGGAGGAGTTAGGAGCCGAGGAGCCCACCCATTGGAAGACTCCGCTTGACGGGGATGTGGATCCCGAGGTGGACACTTAGAGCGACACTTTTATTTTGTTCTAGACTAGATTATGCTTAGAATATCCTTTTGAACTCTAGTACATTTCTGTTATTTTCGCTGCGTTATATTATTACATTTTGGAGATGTAAAGGCCAAGATTAGACCTATTAATTTGGGATGATAGTGTGGATATGACATATGTTGAATGCAAGTTTATTTTATGATGGAAAAATGGACCCGGTGTGGTCAATAGTTATGCATATGTGGACCCGGTGTGGTCAATTGTAATATAATTGTACAAGTTGTGTTTTGGGTAGAGCTCTCCGTACAAAGGAGACTCTGCCCAAATTTTGTTAAAATATGAATGGTTGATGAATGAAACTTTCGTCGTGATGAATTTTACTTAATGCTCTCATACGGTAAATGATTTTTAGAATGTAATGTCACCCACGGGAGTTTTTGGGTCGTTACAATATGAGACTCTTTTGGGACAATTATTCTTTTATAAATGAATGTACGTAGAAATGATAATTATGGTAATATCCGATATTATGCAATTGAGTATGAATAAATGGACCCAAGGTGGTCAATGTTATATGATTGCACATGTTGTGTTTTGGATAGAGCTCTCAGTACAAAGAAAACTTTAACCGAATTTTGTTAATTTATGGATCCCGATAAATGGGCCAGAATGACGTGGTATCGAGTTACACTATATTCACGGGTATTTCACGGATTAATAGATGTTCAATGGTATAATTGTGGACACCCGAACTTTGGGGCATCACATTAATTACTATTTCAATTTGGTTATAGCTAGAGTACCCGTCCAAAAAACAATAAAATGCATATCCAGCCATCCTTTCTCGAACTTGGTCTTGGATGTGTAGAGGAAAATGATTTGTTATACTAAGAGAATTTAATTTTTGATAGTCGATAGACATATGCCAATCAGTGATTGTACACGTAGGAACTAATTCGTTTTCTTGATTTGTCACTACCGTAACCCCATAATTTTTAGGTACTACTTATGTAGAGCTGACCCATTTACTATCCGATATAGGGTATATAATCCTAGCATCTAACAATTTAAGTACTTCAGCCTGAACAACTTTCTTAAGGTGTGAATTTAACTTACGATGTGATTGTCGAGATAGTTTAGAGTCTTCTTCCAAGTATATACGATAAGTACAGAGGAGAACAATTATTCCCTTAAAATCGGCTATTGTCCAACCAATTGTACTTTGATGACTCTTGTCACTTGACTTTCTTGAGGCTCTGACAACTTTGAAGATATCACCACTGGATAAGTTTGATCCTCCCTCAATAAGACATATTTCAAGTCAATTGGAAGAGGTTTCAACTCTAGCTTGAAAGTCATGACACTAGACTCAATAGACTTCGTGTCATTGGGTAATAACTCTTCAAATTTTGGAACTCATGTTCCAACAGTGGACATATCTACAATAAACAATATTTATAGACTCTAACAATGCACGCGACTCTTTTTTAATACAAGCTTTTTCGAATAGACTCTAAGTTAAGGACTCAATGCAATTTACTTCTTGCAAATATTCCTCCTCCCTGGGTTTTTTTAGCAATATCAAACAAATTTAATTCCAATGTTATGTTACCAAATGAAAGTTTCATGATTTCATTCCTATAATTAATCAATGCATTTGATGTAGCAAGGAACGGACGTCCCAAAATTACAGGAATTTGTGTAGAGATATGCAAAACTAGCTGAGTATCCAAAACAATAAAATCCACAGGAAAAATAAAACTTATCAACTTAAACAAGCACATCCTCAACAACTTCTCATGGAATTTTTACAAATCGGTCAGCCAACTGTAATGTGACTTTTGTGGGTTTTAACTCTCCCAACCCTAACTGCTCATGGACTATATAGAAGAGTAAATTGATACTGGCTTCAAGATAAAGCAAAGCTTGCTCAATTCCGAAGTTTTCAATTATACATGAAACTGTGGGACTCCGTAGATCCTTGTTCTTCAAAAATTTGGCATATGATGAGACTTGCTTGATTGCATCCAATAGGGATGTTCATCTTTACTTGCTTAAACAATTAAAAATTTTAGCATGATTGTTCAGTGGTTCAGGTTTCTTAACTCGTTGAGGAAAAGATAAAGGAACAGAATTTGATTTGTCTTTTTTGTCAGGCAATTCTGTTTCTTTTTGAACAATTGATTCACATTCAACTATTTCATTAACAAGAATTGACTTAACTACTAACTCAAGAGTTTTGGCTTTGATGATCTTTTCAATCACTTTACCGTTTGTCAATGTAGTAATTGCTTGGACTTGGCTTGGAGATGGGTCAGAAGATATGACATTAGCTTGGGTTTAACCTTGTGGAGGTTTAACAAGCACATTATTAACATGGGCATACCTTTTGCTTGTCAGTGATGAAGGTCCATTGGTGTTGGTTCTGATAATTGATGCCTAAGTCTGTGCATAGTGTTGCTAAGAACCATGCCCATGATTCTTTCATCTCGATCTCAACAACACATTATGCAATAGGAAACATAGAATCATTGGCATCAATATCAATTGCTGTCAACAACTGTCCACTGTATGCTCCTTTCAAGTGGCAACCATCTAGTCCAACTACTTTCCTGCACCCTTCCAAAAATCTACTCTTACATGCTGCAAGACAGATATATAACCTATGAAATCTAAGTTAACCTATTTCCTCATCTACAGGAGCATCCAAAACAATTGTGGAACCAGGAGTAACCCTCCTTAGTTCCTCAAAATAATCCCATAGTCTACCATATTGTTCAATGTCATCCCTATGTATCAATAGCATTGCCCTTTTCTTTGCTCTATATAATTGATTTCTTGTTAGATCAACATATAAATCTTGCCTAACCCTTTTTTTTAAAAGCCTTTATAGGCCAACAGGTTGATTCTTAGCTCCTCCAGATACTTCAATGCAATCATCTTTGAGTTCACATTGCTATTAGTGTAAGTCTTCCCACATACGTGCTTGCTAATGTATGTCTTTATTTAGTATGTTTTCTCACTATGCACTCTAGAATCATAAACAAGCCAACTGCAGCCCTCTTGACAATTTTTACCAACTATGCATGTTTTCTAGTACCAACCTTGATCTCCTCAGATGTACTGAATAACGTACCTAGCTTAAATTGTGGGTCTTCCTGATCTTTGTTTGTCCAAAATACTACAAATTTTGGTTTTTTTCTTGCATCAGTCTCTCCATCAGATGAACTACAATAGCTTACAATATCCTAAGAATCACCATCTAAGTCACTCAGATCTAAGCAATGCCTTATGTCTTCTGTTGTTGTTTTTTGCTTGTTACTCTTCAAACCAGTCCATTCAGCTTCATGATCAACACAATTCTCATACAACATGTCATCATACTCACTGTCAACCAATTCTTCATATTCACTACATTTAGATTCAGGTTGGTACTCATCTGAGTCTGATGCTACCCTATTCCCTATTGTCATCAATTGGGGCATCGCCATCATCAGGATGATTACTTTTGCCTTTAGATGATCCAACCTGACTCTCCCCTAATTTAATACCTCTTATATGTTTAAAATATACTTGAGCTATCCTGTTTTTATGCAAATGATGTGACATATCTAATAACTGTTCATCACTACTCATATGTACTAGTCCTTTGTGCAAATCCAAAACAGAAAATTTGTAATAAATCCAATATATGGAGCTAGCCAAGACTATTAGCTATATCATCCATTTCAATGAGTGACATAAGTTCACAATTACAGTCATCTATGTAGTCTATTTTGCCCCCAACATTAGCTTTATTTGGATTCTCTATAAATTCATCACTATGGTGAACCTTCATTGAGAAAAGTGAAGACTCATGCCCTACAACATGATTTTGTTGACACATATGTAAGAAAAAATATAAAAATTGCCAAATGGTTTCCAAAAACAAGAAAATACAAAATTCATATAATAAAATTCAATGACACAAATTATAAAATAAAATATATAAAATTTATATTGCAAAAACAAGTGGTTTCCAGCAACCACATAAACTATAAAATATTGTAAAAAAAAAAAAATGTTTTGCATAAACCAATCTATTTGACAACATCGAAACCTTTTATATTCAGTTGTACCCATGAAGCTGAAACCCAAACGTATAAAAATTAGTACATACTGTAATAGGGAACATTGTATGATCCAGCTTGAATCCCTTTCTTCTTCATAATGAAATGGATCATCTTTATACTATGATTCACAGTCAACCAAGATGAAGACAAAGTTAATCACTCTTATATTTTGCCCTGAGCAACAGTTTTTACCATTGTTGTCGTTGCAATGAAAATGAAAAGTCTGAGAATCACGGTCCTTAAATGGCTAAGTAGGGTGTAATGTCCAATTTTCCTCTCACGTGGATGGCACATGGGGATGGAGACAAAAAAAAATAAGACAGTGTCTATAGTTGATATCAAAATAAATTAAAGTGAATATTTTGGGGATCAATGTGATTCGATTAGAATGTTAGAGACTAAAATGAGATACAAATAATCCAAAAACATTTTAAAACTTATCTAACTGCGCTTCAAGTTTAACCGCCCTTCAAAAATAAATTTGCCATGAAAGTGCTCAAAACTCTTTATAGTCAATTTTTCAAGGACATATGTTTTAGTCTAGAGTTGAATTCGATATTTGAATAATAATGTAGATATCATTCCAGTCTCACCTTCTTTAAAATGGTAATTGACGTTACTTTGAAGCGGCGGTTAGCATTTTAACGAAGGGAGGTCAGAAACACAATGGACAAGCAGGTCGAAAGGAACAAGAAGAAGAAGGACAAGGGAGGCATAAAAAGGAAAAGGAATAAGTACGAGTCTCGATATACAAGTTCCACCAGGCTTCAAGTACACCCCAATTCCCAAACCCTCTTCGCTTTGATGTTAGCTTCAATTTCAAACAGCTACTTGCACAATATACCTGATTCTGAACCCATCTTAATCCAGTGCTTGAAGCAACTTCGTCTCTCTCTCCTTTTCACTGCCCCCAAACCCAATACCCACGAGACCCTCTTCGTCCCCATCCTCTCGTTGCTTCCAGTTCTTCTAAAATCCAGGTAATTATTACCCTCTGTCTGGCAACTATCCCAGTATTTTGATTTAGGACGGTTCTTTGGACCACTCTTTTGGTGGGTATTGAAAAAAATAGAAAGAATCTCGGGTAGGCGAACTCGTTGTGATTTTCCTAAATTATATGTCAAGCTAATATTTTCAAGTCGGCGCCCCTAGATTCATTAGAGTGTGCGTGGGCGTGTGTGTGCCTGCGCGTGTTGGACGTCATAAATTTTGGTGTACTAAACTTAAGAAAACATTTCGAGATCGGATGAAGAAATAATAAAAGAGAGTGTGTGAATGTGTGTGTAGTGAAAATTATATGAATGAGACTAAGATGTTGGGAATTTGATGACAGTTGTGCTGAGATTGCATGTAGAAGTGCAGAGATTGTGGGGGCAGCATCGCTGTATTCATATGGGATGAATGCACAAATTGCTTTGGATGGCGAAATTGTGATGGGTTTGATCTCTACATTGGGAAATTCTAAGAGGAGTGTATCAATGGCTGCCTGTAATGCTGTTCTGGATCTTTCCACAACGTCCTTCGGAAGACAACGGCTGCTGGAATTCTCCGCGTTGAGAATCTCATGTATGTGTTCTTTAATCTATTGAACCCTACTTTTCCATTATTCTTTTGATTTGTCTCTGTATAATAGTGTATATGTATCAGTGTTTGTGACCATTCAAAATTTCTTCTCCTGTTGATTGAAATGCAGTATTAATTCCACATGAAATTGATTGGTCACACATTCTTTCTTCAATATCCTGTATAGCATTGAAGCTTGTCTGCCAGTGCTTTGTCCATTGAATAAGTCATTGCAAATGTCATTCAAAATGAGTCATGAACACGCACGAGACAACATTCAAATAGTTGCCTCAGCAATGACTTCGAAAGCTTTCACACAGTTTGGCCTTTGCTGGTCACTGGTTATAGCACAAACTTGGACTTATTTGTACAAAATGGGTGCTGTGATATTTTATCTAAAGTTTCACAGTTGTTTGTCTGGCATTGTCCACTGCACTAGGCACTAGTTCATCGGCATTGAATTTATTACTCATTTTGTTTTTTTAGGGTATTAAGACCATTACGTGCTATAATCAACCTTTTTGGGATTTCGAATTCTCGATAACTCAATTAGGGTTTAGTGCAAAGATTTAGTCTCATTTCTTTGAATTGCTCTCCATTGCTAAGTTCATAGCGGTTGTGGTAACTTTATCGATGTTACCTACCGAATTGAATGTCTATTCAGGAAGATGATCTAATTCGCTGAAATTGACTCTCTAATTGTTTATGCAAATCAACATATTTCACTATAGAACCATTATATATGTTCCTTTATAGATTTGAATGGACCTGCTAACATTTGCTGGCCAAATGCTTGACAAATATTACGATATAAAATGTGATAGAATTTTACAAGACTAATTTGTGCACACGTGCGTTGCATGTGAACTATTTTTGTGTTATACTTATTGTTTATGCACGCATGTTAAATATCACAAATTTGACTAACTAAAGTCAAAGGAACATTTGGACATACAAAATTACTTTTTCGTCAACATAAATTTTTTGTTCTATCACTATTTGTTGCACCCAAAATTGTTTCTAAACCACTTAAGGATTAACACGGTTAGTGGTCATGAATAAAGAATTATAACTGTGACATTGTATGTTAAGGTGCTAGCATATGAGCCGTAATGGGCAACAAGAATTTAAAATTTTATTTTTTAGTATAATAGTTTATGTTTGAGAAGGCTACTGGTTTTGTTTTAAAAGCCAGAAATAGTTCTTTTTATATCTAATTCTAAGAAAATGTTCTTTAACAACATGAAAAATTGCTGTGTTTGAATTCCATTCATAGTGATAAAAGCCACATATGTATACTTCCTATGAAGATGAATTACTTTACTTGACCCTTGGCATCTTCTAGAATTCTTAAAGCAATTTAAACAATATTCAACTTACATTTTTCTCTGTTTTCATATTCTTTTTTCCTAGACCACCAACAATCTTGCTTTTTACTGATCAATTATAGTTGACAAACCTTGTAGGATCAATTATATCCATATTGGTTTTATTCAAGAACCAAAAAACATGGAGAACTTCTATATTGTTATGATTAACAAAACAAAATGTAAAATTATGCATCATTGGACCCACTTAATTTATGGCTATTGTCAACAATGTGATCAAATTATATTATATTGCCCTTTTTGGCTTTTGATGATTTTTTAAGCTCTAGATTTAGGTAAGTGAACAGCCCGCAGTCTATGTGACATAAATTCCATGGATGTTAAAAGTAATAAAATAACTATTTTGACATAGTAAATTAACATAACATGCTAATGTAAGAATACCTCAGTTGACATGTTCATGCTAAAAAAGTAATGCGACTAAATCATGACATCCAATACATTGTGCCTTAATATGCAATGCCAATTTATCGTTACTCTAAAACGTAGTGGGCTTTAGAGCATTTCTTTGTAGTATTCCTCTGTTACATCTCTGGCTTGTTATACAGGAACATGACAGCCATTTCAAGGGCCAGCCGGAATCCCCTGTGGCCTTTGAGTACCTGCACTTGGATGTCACTGGACAAAAAATTTATGGTTTTGAGCAAAGAAAAAATGGAATTTGAAAAATTGATGCTGAATAGCATATAATGATTGAGGAACACTCTTCAAACTTATAACAGTAAAAATTGTTAGCCACCTCATTATTTTAGCATATAGATGAGCATATGACCTATACATTATCCATGAGTCTCTATCATGGAGAAGAATAAAGAACTAAATTGTAATTCAGAATGATCCTTAAAATAAACAATATAGGCTGTGTGTGTCTGTGTATGTGAATGAAAGAAAAGAAAACTTACATGATCATAGTCCATCTTCTTTGTCACTTTCCAAGGACTAACGATTTCTCCTTGCAACTGAATAAAAAACCTTCCTGCTATGCATTTGAGAGATAACCATGGGAAAAATGTGAACTTTGTTGTTAAAATAGTGTGCAAGCAAAAGAGGAGAGAGTGGTGACAACATATTAAACCAACTGTAGTTGAGACTAAGCTACAAAGAGAGGAATTGCAAGATCAAAAGCTTAAAAATTATGCATGATAATTATAGTCTCCTATAAGTAAAATCAAAATTGAAACTTCTATCACTTGAGTCGATTATATGGAACTAACCTTAAACTTGGAGCAATATCGCTTAAGCTTTGATTGTATACTTGATTCTAAATAGGGTAAGTGTTTGGTTGTTTTTAATCGGTTGCTAATTGAGGAGGAAGAGGAAGAGGAAGGAGAGAGAGAGAGAGAGAGAGAGAGAGAGGAGAGAGAGAGAGAATTATTGTAATGGCAGGAGAGTGGAGGATTTTCAAGTTTAATATGTCATTAATTTAAAAATATAAGAAGGTAATACTTTTATTGTAGGAATGTATAGTTGGAGAAAAATTGTTTTTCAAAATATGTTGATATTTGAAGTGGTAAGATAAGATAAAGGGAAGAATTAAACAGTTTGGATAAAAAGCTATTGAAAAAATACATAAGACTTTGTATTTAATCTTTATTTAAAGTTGAAGTGAAGAAACTACTCATAAATTGGGCATTGAGAAGGAAAATATAGTCATGTTGAAACTGTGGATATAGGTAAATAGAAATTAGGAATAAATCTAAATACTTTTGAGTTTCTTATATTCTGGAAAGTCTGATCAAATACCTGTTAACCATATGCGTAAATTGCATTTCCTTGTTAAGGGTGTGAGAGGTGCTGAGCCTAATCATCGGAATGCATCCGCCAATAAATTTTAGGTATGAACCCCCGAGACGGGATATCTTATGTGACGTTGGATGCAAATATAAAAGTGAAAGGCAGTTCCCTATTTCACTTATTCAATCATGAGAATGCTAAAGAAAAAAAAAAGGAAAAATAAAATAAAACTTGAATTTGAAAAGACATTTCAATAGCAAAAAGTAAGATCTAAGACCAAGATCCTCAAAAAAAAAAGAAAAGAAAAGATTAAAATTGAAGCCTATGTTGGATATCTTGAGCTTTCAAATTATGGATCCCCCCCAAAAAAAACTCCATCAAGAAAGAAAGTAAACAAAGGCTCTACATAAACCTGAGGATGAGATTTATGTAAAATTAGGATCATTATAAGTTAGCACGTAAACTTGTTGGTGACATTCATTCAATTGTTTAATTATTCAATGAGTGATTTTCAAGTTCCACCAACCCATTTTAAAATCTTAAGTAGATGAATAAGAATCTTGAGAATTTCATTCATTTTTGTATCATTATAGACAATCGCATCGATATTATCTACGGAATCCGAACTCTATTTACGATTTTTATTTAGAAGGTCTTATATTCATGAGGGAGAATACAAGTTGAATAAATCCTCTTTGCAGTTTGTATACAAATAACATTTATCAAAATCAGTCTTGATGTTTCCTTTCATCTCTTTGTCTTTTCCTCTTTTTTTTTGCTTTGTTTTCCTTTTGGGGCCACTCTCGGCTTTGTTTCATCTCATTTTCCTTTCTCTCATTGTAAAATATTGCTTCTTGAAGCAAGCTTTGTGTGAGTGTGTGAGAAAGAGGAGGGGTGGGGGAGGGAGAGGAGAGAGAGAGACAAAGATCTAGTGAGAGTTTCGAGATGTTAGTTTAATGTTATTTTGTTTGTCCACACTTTGATTACAACATAATTTTGTAGGTTTTCCTCATTTCCCTTTTGGGGTTAACTAAAAATTTCTAGTTAAGCTGCACTTTTGTTACAATGGACTGATGGTACCCTGTTTATGTAATGTAGGAATAACTTTCCATTGATCAATTTCTTACATGTTATCTATGTTAGTGTGAATATTTCTTGTGTTCTAGACTTCTAATTAGTTTATTTTCTGTATTCAGAAAATATTAAGAATAAGTTCACATTATTATTTTAGTTATATGTTTGGGTTTTTTACCTGTTTGTCAATGCTTGGGGGGTTGGGGTTGGGGTGGGGGTTTATTTTTTTAATAGTGGACAGAAGACTAGTATCGATAACAAAAGTATAAGGAGCCACTAGTGATTTGGTCATTCTCGATTCTGCTTTTCTGGAAAGTTATTGATTTTCTTTGTTCATTGAAATACAAGTGAAAGATTTCAAAGCTTTTTTGCGTAAGAATGCATAGTTAATAGCTATGGACAGTAATACGTATAGGAATTTTTAGTGTTTTATTGTGAATTATGCTTTGCAAAGATGGTATCTAGTTCAAGCGGACTTAAGGCTTGGTGTAGTCTGCTGGTGCACAAAAAGAAGTGCATCTGGAAAAACTTTTAATGTGGCTTATTGGCATTTCCTCATCTTGAATATGTGTTTCAGGAGTGCAATTTAAATTCTTGCAATCCAGTAAGTTGTTAGATGGAAACTAACAGTGAGCTCAAGTGCAGATTTATGCCGGGCTTGATTGGCCCGCATGGAGCTGAGGGGTCGTCAGCACTAATCCCTTGCCCAGGCCGCTCCATAGAAAGGGGTTCCCCCATTGTTGTAAAGCGCCGGTTCAGTTTTGACCAAAACACTGCAGAAATCCCATCCAAATGCAACAAAATTGGATGGGTAGTCTAGATTACTCCAGTCGAGCCTCACCAAGAGGAATCCATCGAAAAACAAGCAACAAATGGGCTGAAATTGGAGATCTCACCTCGACAACTTAAACCCAAAAAAACTTCAAAAATTGAAAAAAAACTAGTCAAACGGCTTCAAAAAAATTTGCAAATAACCAATATTCCAAAAATTTCAATCGAATCTGTCTATAATTTTTCCGAAATTTTTTGACATGTTTGATGTTGACGTTAGCCTGGCAGAAAACATTGTTGACTGCACAATGGGGAATTTCGACTATAGATTTGATCAGGCTCTAATATCAAGTTAGATTATGAAGTTGTTAGGGTTTGTAACAAGAGAGAAGAATAAGAGAGGAAGAAGAGAAGATTATGTGAAGAGAATAGTGTGTGAGGGTTGCACAACTACATTCCATATATATATAAACCATCAAATGCCAAAACATACCTAATGGGTTACATCCTAATATAACATAACATAACATGTTTTGTTATTCTACTTACCTATGTCGCTTTCCTAATATATTCTACCTTCCTAATATTTTAATTGTCTTCAATGTCAATCTAGTATAGAGCTTTTTATCAGTCTACGGAACACAAAAAAAAATAAAAATAAAATAAAAAAAAAATTGTGCATCTTTGAAAATGTCAGTGGAACTGACGTTTTTCCCCCATTGTCTACTTGCATGTTTGGGTTGGGTTTTGCTGAAGCAAACAAATTTCATAGTATGAATTATCCATTTTCCCCTCCTCTTCCCTTCATGGTTAAGCAAAGCAATTGTGCAATGTCTCCTTCAACACCTAAAAAATACCCATCCAAACTTCTAAAGAGGGAAAAAAAAAAGGCAGCTGCACAAGACCACCATAAATTAAAAAATCGAAACCCATTCACAGTTGCCCTGTGCACGCCTTAATCATAACCTCTAAATTAACCCAGATCCACCATCTTGGCACCCACACAGTCACCTACAATGCACCCTTCTTCGATTGCCTGAAAGAGTGTGGCGGTGGGTCAAAGGTGGATACATCGACTCCGAGGTGGTGTACCGAGGTCAGGGGGTGAAGAGATGATTAAATGCGAATTTACTCACGGCTATGTGTGTGCACATAGTAATGAAAGAGAGAGGAGGGAGGATTGGGGGGGGGAGGGGGGAGGGGGGAGGGGGGAGGGGGGGGAGGGAGAGACGACACAATGGTGGTGGACGGTGTGCTTTGAATAAATGAAGGCAGATGCCCTTTATTAAAAAAAGGAAAACAGATGAGCCCAATAGATGGAATTTAAAAATGTTTGAAACAGATAACTAATATTTTTATTTTGAAGACGTCAAATGGACTGTCGTTTTTAAGTTAAAAACTTATTTTTGGACTAATATTTTTATTTTAAAGACATCAATTGGAGTGACGTTTTTAAAAACTGTTTGAGTTAGAAAAATAGTTTCAAAACTAACCCATTTTGAGAATTATTTTTTCAAAGCACATGGATTTGGTAAAAAGCTCTCCGGTATAAATAGGCGATAGGTTGAAGGCAATTCAAATTTCACACCAATATGGTTTCCTAATCTCTTTTTTACCTTAATATTCAAATTTAAGATTCAACATGATATTAGAGTTGGATATTTGGGTGAGTGGGGGCTCTAGGCGAGCGCCTCACTCACCTGGTGGTGGGTCGGTCAACACATATCAAAGATGTCATCATCTCTATGTCCGCCAGTTGTTGTGTCTATGTTTTGGCCTGTCTAGTGTTGGTTTAGTGTTTTTAGCTTGATTTAGTGTTTGTTTAGACGGTTTAAGCCCAATTTGGTGTTGGTTTACTCATTTTCATCTCGGTTGAGTGTCGATTCAGTATTTTTAGCTTGATTTAGAGTCGTTTCAATGGAATGTTCAAGGTTGTAATATCAACCATCAACTCGGAGAACGAGACATCGGTGGAGGTTTTACAGGAAGAATTGGGCGATATGACCTAACAGAAGAAATTGGATATGACGAGAAATGCATGTCATATCGTGGCACAATGGAACGGTATCAGCCAATTCGTTGATGATAATTCAGTGACTCGGGGTTGACTGAAAGTCTCATACGACTCGGCCATATTGTGTGAGACTCAAAGTTTTTATTTAATGTGAAGCGAAAGACTCAGCCGACTCATATTGGAGTTTCATCCTGGTTCAGTACTAGTTTATGTTTTTAGCATTGGTTCAACCCCTTTTTGGCCGATTTAACTTCTATTCTGCTTTGTTTTACCTTATTTCGATTGTTGTGGTCTAATTTGTTATGTCTATGGTTGTTAAGTATATTGGTTGTGTCGTTTGTGCCGGTATTGTTGTCGTTCAGTCATGCCTTAGATTCACATGGAGCAACGAAGTGGTGTTTGTTATGGGAAAGTGTCATTGTAGTGGTGTCGATTAAATAAGTCATTGGATAGTCCAAAGCAGTCATGTAGAAAACTATGCTTAATATTTACATGGAGATATTGCAACCTTGTTTGTAAAAGTCCTGGTGATCAACTCTGTAATATCTTATCAATCATTGGTGCGGTCCACCTTTAGTAGCATTGTTCAAAATTGGATATTTTGATTTCTATGCTCTTGAGGGGGAGTGTTAGATTGTTACTTTGCTATTGGTCTACTTTTCTATTAT